GACAAAAGTATCCTCTGACATGAGTGATCAGAGATATTTTCCTAATTCGCATAAGTAATTTTTTTTATCGGAAACTTTAGTTCTGTTTGCGGTGATAGGTGGCGCTTTGGAAATATCAATACAAAAATATTATACAATTGTTAGAGAGGCATGGAATGGTGGTTTCACCGAATAACCGAATAGTATTCGGTGTAACTGAAACTGAACCGAACTAGACAATCGGCTGAATTATTCGGTTGACCATTTCATTATTTTTATTCAGCCACAGTGTTTCTATCGTAATATAACGATCATTTATTTCGAAAGTGGGTAACCTATATGAAAAATAACAGACTCTTGCCGGAGAGAGCCAATAGATTGGTTTCTGCACCATAATTTACCATTAATTAATTATAAATATTATTTCATTTTTCATTTCTATTATATTTTTATAGGGACTTTAGTTTATATAATGAATATTTATAATATTTGATCAATTATGAATTCATAATGCTATACTGGAAAATATTCTTAATGAAAATTGCTTTTAAAAATTTACCAGCCCCAAGTACTCCAAGATGGGAAATATTTATACAAATATTTTATCTTAATTTAGCAAAATTAATTAAATCTATTAATACGAACAAATTTTCATCTAAATCGAAAGCTTAAAATATTTCTTTCGGCTGTTTTTCGTCAAGTCAGTGGTTAGAAGCTGTCGCCCGGATTGCGAAAGGTCGTAAGTTTTAGACACATCTCAGAGAACCTGGGGCTGGTAGATTTTTTTAACATCTTTATTAACTTTATTTAACACATTTTTCATAGGATTTCTTTGACTTATAATGAAGCGTAACTCTTCCATAAGAAGTTTTGCCCTTTGGTTTATGCCGTATCTTGTAGCCAAGCAACACCCATTTGCACAAACGTCCATTAAAACTATTATTAATTTAAAAAGACATTATCGATACAAATTTTACATTTAGAACGTTTTTTAGAGCTAAACATCATCATTAAACCTTAATGGACTTTGTGCAACTAATGATTAATCTATAAGATGGATTTAATTGAGTTCTGAAAAATTAATTCCATTATCTTTTGACCAATAGTTTCTAATTTTGTTTGTAAGGAGAAATCTTCCAAATACTGATCCGATCATGAAAATACTTTCACTTCAGTCTTCATCATACGCGGGTGACATAGGCTATGATTTTTGCAGACGAAGTCGGGAGAAAACAGATAGTTAATTGATAACTCTAATATCGAATAATGCGGTGCGAAATTTGATGACCGAAGGACGGAAGTGTTTAGTGCAAAGACCCAGTGACATTTGACAAACATTTTCTTTGATATGACATCTTGCGCACAATCATTTAGGGTCGTTTTCACTGTGTACAAAAGTAAATGTCAGATTTTGAGATAGCCTTAATCACAGATGTGTCCGGAGTCCGGATATAATGACGTAACATTGAGTCTTAATAACGTGTAAGTAGTAGAGAATTAACAGGGCTGCCAGTTAAGCAAACTTAATCATACCGTGAGGTAGAATAGAAGAGAATACATTTTATTGTACATGCACTACAAATATACTATTTAAGTTTATGAAAGGAGACGTACACTTGGCGACTGTATCACTAAAAGTTATCTATACCAGGCAACGTTTCCGCATTGTATTGTTCGATATTAGAGTTATTAATTAACTAGCTGTTTTCTCGCAAATTCGCCTGCAAAAATTATAGCTTATGTCACCCGGGTATGATGAAGACGGGAAGCTAAACATAAGTGAAGGCTGAGGTGAAAGAAGATTACTTCCTACAAACAAAGTTGGAACCTATTAGTTACAAGATTTTACAAACAAAATTAATGGAATTAAATTCTTCATAAACTTGCTTAAATACTTCCATTCAAACTTTAATGGTTAGTTGCACAAACGTCCGTTAAGATTTAATGACGAAAATGAAGCTCTAATGTATGTTCTAAATTAAAAATTTGTATCTCATTAAACTAATGATAATTTTATTGGAAATTTGTGCAAATGGCTGTGAGTCATAATCACTTGTTTAAATTAAATCATTTCATTTATAAAAACTAATTTAAAAAAAAGATCAAATTTAAACATTCGCTCATAGACTGATGCAAAACATTTCTACCGTTATTAACGTAATTTTTCACCTGAAACTGTAATATTTTCTCATCTAGCTCTTTTTCTAAATATGTATAATGCTGGAGATACTGACTTTTTTGATTCTCTCTAACACTTGTAAACAAACAACAAATACCTTAATAATTTCAAATTGTACGAAGTTCGATTATGATATTACAATTTAAAAACCGAACATCGGAACGATACGCCATCTATGCTTACATAACGATGTGACAACGTAATGACAAAGCATAAATAGAAGTTGTATTGGCCCTTAAGCTATGCATAGTTAGATAAGTTATTTAAATCTGGTAAGTGTATCCAGTGTCAACATAGAGTGACTTTCGATTAAAAACTTTAAACAAAAAGTCGCCGTATTTTAGCTGAAGAAATAATGATATGGCCGTATTACTGCAATTTTCTGTCGTAAGAATGCAGCAATAGATTTTTTATAAATGTCAACGTATTTTCTTATTATTTATAATTAGATGTTCATATATAAAATGCGTGGTTTTCCCGAAATCTGAAGTTTAATTTAGCATTGCTAAGTTTTCAAGTAAAATTAAAGTATAAACTCAACTTTTATCACCCAAATAGACCAAAAATTTGAAAAAAAAACTCGGGTCTGAACATTATTAACGCATCCTACCGTTTTGATTACTGTATATTTCAGTGCTGCCATCTGTCCTGAGCTTTGTGTAATATTCACTAAGAGCATGTGTGTGACATACGTAAATTGTAATGTGATTTGCATTTGATATCAAGCATACATATTTGTTTACTATGATAAATCCTTCAGCAGCCTAGGACAATAGGAGACCCGTTTATGTTCAAACTTACGGGTAAGTAGAAAACTTTAATATTTTATAAGTCATTAACGCCGTCTATATTGAACTAATGATATCAGTGATTACAATCAATCCCAGCTGCTTCTTTTGACACAATAATTGCTGTATGGAAAACCGATGGCGTTTTATTCAGTAAAAGTTAAATAAAGAAGAATTATAGGTAAAATTATTAATATAATATCTCGAACACTTTTTTATTTTTTTCGATATCACTCTTATGTTTTTATAAACAACAACTAATAACATTGTTTTTACATTACAAAAATCATAGAAAAGGAAAATACGCGATATGTTTTCTTGATTATGTCTTTTAAAGAGGAAAGTTTGATTGTTTGTATCGAGTAGGCTCGTAAACTACTGGACCATTTTTAAATATTCTTTCAATTACTTCATTACTTCATACATCATACAGGTTTGACGCTGGCGAAGTCGCGGGAAAACTGCTAGTTTATAATAAAATCCATTTCAATATTATTTATGAGACCCCTCTTGTTCATATCGTTTCGATTAGAAATAAAAGAAAAAATATTACCGTCCAACATGAAACCTGCTTTTCGATCTGAAGTCGGAAAAGACTAACCTGCATAAGCTAAAATCTTCTTATACCCACATTGTTACTACTTTGATCATTTATGATCATATGAATCAGACATAATTATGTTACAGTCTTGTATTTTTGTTTGTGAATGTTCTAGAAATGTGAATAGATGTTATAAAAATAATTTAAACTTAAAAATAAGGCTACCAAAAATATAACTAAAAAAATAATAAAAAAATATTATAACTTGGCTAAACAATTTGTCATCGCAGCCGGGGAACCTGTTTGACATTAGTAATTTATGAAGGTCTCCCAACTGCATTATTTTTATGAATGTTATAATAATCATAGGTAAATTGATATAAATAAATAATTATGGATTAAATAAACAACACATTGTCAATTTGAATTATTTTAATATTGAAACTGTAATACTAATTGTAAAAATTAATTTTTAGATAATAATACATTTTAGTCGTGCCAATTTTTATTAAAGACTTGGTTACTACATAAATGGTGCTAGATTTTATGAATTGTTAATAGAATTTCAACTAAAATGTGATTTGGTGTGAATTAGTATACATGCATACGATCACCAATATTATGGAAATATAAATTGTTTTCTCCGTGATAATACACTGAACAAATATTTAATTTGAAGAAAACAAAAACGAGGTAAGTATATTTACAACATATCTTAGATATAGATATAGTAGTTAAGAATCATTGGAATCATGTTTTCATAACCTACATCGATAGTACGAAAAATTGTCGAGTATGAATCGCACTTCTCACTTTCCTATGATGTACCTATTTGATAGATCATAGAAATTTTAATATAACATAAACGTAGCACCATGCACTTGATATGCTTGAAGTACCTATGTAGACTACTAAAAGACCGCTATAATAATCTTGTTTTACTTTCGCAATTTTATTATAATGAATTCTACAAAATGTTCAGCTTCTTGTCGATAGATGGTGTTAAAAGTGAATAGTTAATAATTTTAAATGTATTTGCAAAAAATCGTTGCACTCATAAAGCGCACGATGGCACAACATCAAAAACGATCTTACTCTATTTATTATTATAAACAGAATTATTGGACATATTCGAATAAAATTATTGTACAATGTAATATTCTTATAATTATGTGAGTAGTTGAGTTTGTGACAAAAAGACTAGACTGGTAACCTTATAATATTATAGCCGCAATCACGAGGTAATGCTAATATATATTTACAGTTTACTATAGCTTAATTAATTCATATTATTATTATATGTTCATTGGTATTCAAATTATTTATATTTGTAGTGCTTACTTTTGCAGTTACACTATTCTATAAAAAACAGTCGTCGTTGAGCGTAACGCTGTCATGTCAAAGAGCTTCAATGAAATAAAATCTTTATGACTTTTTGAAGTGGGTTTTCTCTGATTTCTACGATCAATTTTGCACAGCAAATAATAATTATGGCCTATAGACGTGCTTCAGGTCATCTCCCCGTTTGACACTCACTTGCATTCTTTCTTTTTCCTGACAGATTTGATTTTGTACACTTTAAAGACCTCTTTCGTCTTTTAGTTTTTAACCAAGTTTCCTTTATTAGATCAGCTCCCTTCTCGGCGACCATCATAACGGGAGCATTTATATTACCGTTAGTTATAGTAGGCATCATACTAGCATCTATAACTCTCAAACCTTCTACACCATACACCCGAAGCTGTGGATCGAGTACTGCCATAGGATCACTTGATGGACCCATTTTTGTCGTGCCAGAGAGATGGTAAATTGTCATAGTGTATTGCCGGATCAAACAATCCCAGTAGTCGTCGGTATATAAAGGCAAGTGCTTGCAATTCGGAAGAGGTTTGCTATGGAATCGTGCTCCGAAACGTTTCATAGCTTGCGTTTCTCCTACAGCGACTGCTGCTTTTACACCTTCCCTTAAAACTCCAACATCGTCCGGATGCGTTAGGTAATTATGAACCATGATTGGGTAATCCAAAGGATTATTGGTTTTGAGCTTTATGAATCCTCGACTTTTAGGACGAAGCATCATGGGAAAAATTCCGAAGACGTCCTTATTATTTATTTCGCCAAAAACTTCTTCGTAGAAGTCATCTGTAAGACCGTGAGCTCTCTTCACTTGGGTCCCACCATCAGATGGCACTGAACATGACGTCATCATAAATTCTATATCAGGCCAATCATCTGAAGCGTTTGCGTATTTTGTGTTTATAAAAGCAACCACTTCCAAGCCTATACTTGAAGTTAATGGACCATCTTCTGACACGGCATATCTTATAGCCGAATTTACATTAACTAATCTATTCATTACTAAACTGATAGGATAATCGATTTGAAATACAAGCCCACCGACTGCAATGTGATCTTGTAAGTTTTTCCCGACACCAGGAGAATTGTGTATCACATCAACACCTACTTCTTTCAAGTGATCTTCTGGACCGACACCAGATAATAGAAGTAGTTGAGGGGAACCAATAGCTCCAGCTGATAAAATAACCTCTTTTGTAGCGTAGATTACTTGTGTGACACCATCTCTGATAAATTCCACGCCGTATGCTCTTTTGTTGTCTTTATCTATGAGTACTTTAGTAACGTGTGAGAAGAGGGCAATGTGAAGGTTCTGCCTCAATCTGACTGGTCGCAGAAAGGCTTTAGCAGCGGAACATCTTGCTCCTCTTCTTATAGTAAATTGATACCAGCTGAAGCCGGTTTGCTGCGCACCATTGACATCCAATATTTCGTAGCCCATTTCTTCTCCTGCCTGGAGAAAAGCTGCTCCGAGTGGAGTATTGTAAGGTGAATCTTGAACAGTTAAATATCCACCTGAAAATGTTAAATGAAGAAACATTTATTGAAAAAGAAGTTGGGTAAAAAGGCAAAGAACAAATAAATTTAAAAATAATAAATACTTTTTGTAAGAGTGTGCATAAAGTGCATTGGATAGAATTTATTCGCACATTTATTATTATATATAAAAAATAACATTATAACTATTTTCGCAAGTAAATGTGGTTCGAATATTTTATTTTAGTTTTTTAGTAATGTTTAAATCTAAAATTACAATATTATACGAGGGTGGATCGAAAAGTTCGCGGCCTAACACATAAATACTTAAACTATTTTAATGTAACTGATCTCATTCGATTAGTTTATTCACTGGTTGTCAAATTGTAAAATTCTATCGCAATAGCATTAACTGTATTTAAATTAGACTGAATTTTGAGCCTTTGTGCAGCATTTTTAAAGAATGGAGAAAATTGAGCAACGTGTTCTCATCAAATACCTGTTTAAAAAAAACTAACTCCAAAAGAGATTCACGAAGATATGAGAACAATATTGGGAAAATCTGCTTCTTCGAACAAAAACCAATACGCCTCACGATTTCTCGCGACTGTTTGGAAATGTTTGAGGCTGATCCACAAGATTTTTTGTCCAGATTTGTAACAATGGATGAAACTTAGGTACACCCCTACACCCCAGAGTCAAAACAGCAATCCAAGCAGTGGAAAAAACGTGATGAAACGACTCCAAAAAAGGCCAAAACAATTTTGTCAGCTGGCAAGGTGATTGCGTCAGTTTTTTTGGATGCTAAGGATGTCATCATGGTGGACTACCTTGCAAAAGGTGAAACTATAAACTCTGCTTATTACTGCACCCTCTTACGTCGCTTGCGCAAAACAATCAAAGAGAAAAGGCCAGGATTACTCAGCAAGAAAGTGTTGTTCCATAAGGATAATGAACGCGTTCACACGTCTGTTGAATCTATGGCTCAAATTTGTGATTGTGGCTTTGAATTACTGCCCCATATCGCCTATTCATTTGTTCCCAAACCTAAAAAACCACCTTGGAGGTCAAAAATTTTCATCAAATGAGGAGGTCGAAGCTGCGATGGGTGACTTTTTTGAAGGCCTTTAAGAAACTTATGACCGGCATACAGGCGTTGGAAACCAGACGGAAGAAGTGCATTACTTTTACTTATATATTGTTTTCTTGCTGAGGCCGCGAACATTTCAATCCACCCTCGTATTTTTGATTTATTCATTGTCATGTGTGTAATTACAATTCGTCCACTGAGTTTGCATAAAGTGTAGCTAAATTTATAGTTATATAAATAGTTCACCTGTACTATGATGTCTTGTATCTTTTGCTAAGTACGGATTCCTTTGGTCTTCAGATTTCTTGAAGTAGGGTAGTACATCCTCATACCCCCAGCCTGGGTTGCCCAGAGACTCCCACTGGTCGAAGTCACGCTTGTTACCTCTGATGTAGAGCATCGTGTTTAAGACCGATGACCCACCGAGGACCTTGCCTTTAGTCCATCCACATCTCTTGTCGATCATCGCTTGACATGCTGTATCTTGTGGTTGTGTCCTGAAATTTTTATTTATTCAGTATATACGCAGTCTCTTAGCAATGTATTAAAAATTTGATAGTGCCAGCTGGTAAGTTGACTGAGAATCTTTCGTTCACTATTTTTGCGAAAATGAGATATACCATAACCTTTATGCTTCATAAATATGTAATACAGAGAAAGAATAAAAATAAAAGTTAACAGAAAAATTACAGTCTAATAAAACTAAACAGAAAAAGCCAAGTTTTGTGCAGATAGATCTTGTATGTAACTGAGTAAATTATCGAATGTAAATCACTATTTTACACACTCTATAATAATCTATCGATCTCTCTGAATCATACGAGGTTGTAAGCTATCCCTTTTTTTTTTAATATACGTATTAAGTATTCTAAAATATCGTTGTGTACTAATATTATCCCGTCATATTGGAGAAATGCAAAGAAAGAAGTAACTTCTGAACAACTAAGAACTGTCAAATTAAAAAAGTTACGTAACGTGACCTAAGTACGTAAAGAATTCACGAAATATGTATGTGAGAATAAAAACCAGTTTATCAACTGTCATATATTTTTAGTTTGCCTCGTCAAAGAGATAACATTGATGGTCAGTTGCACAAACGTCTATTAAGGTTTAATGTCGCTCTTAAGCTCTAATGAATGTCGAATTTGTATGGGTAATGTCGCTTTAAACTGATGACAATTTTATTGGACGGTTGCGCAACTATCGATATGTGTTCCTGACACATTCCAGTAACACTAATTGTTACCCATTATTTTGTGGGCCTGTAGGAATACTTCTCGTCGCCTCTTTTAAAGGGTCAAAGTCAAAAGAACGCAATATAAATACAGTAAATCAGTGTATAGTTACCTATATTTCCAGTCCAGTTTGCTCTTGTGCAAATATAGTGACAACAAAGGAACGTCAGAGATCTCAGTCTCGTGCCCTCCAGCTTCTAATAGCAGCACATTCCAGCCTTCAACTTCAGACAATCGGTTGGCCAATACAGATCCAGCTGATCCGCCACCGATGACAATAAAATCATATTTGTCCCTTAGCTGCTTCTGGTTAAATGGTCGATTTTCTGGGTCTAACATGTCGTAGTTGAAGTAAGCCATTGCTGCTAACATGATCGGGATGAAGGTGAGCTTGCCTATTCCGGCAATGGTGAGTGCGGACTTTGCAGCTGCCGCGACGACTGTCAGTAAACCCATGGTGAATCAGTTCATACTTTTCACCTAGAATCACAGATAGGGCACTGTTAAACTTTATGACAAAAATCTTAGTGGATTTTGAACTGGAATTCGGATTGGTACTCATAAATTGTCAATGAATCTCTCCACATATTAGAACAGATCAAAGTTTAATATTTGTAAAAGTTAACTTAAAATTAATAATCAAACTAAAGTTCCAATATTACAGAATCTCACTAAAATCTATATTTTGTTTTTTGTAATTTGCAAGATAATTTTGACAATAATTAAAAATAAACCATTCTTTGAAATTTTCAAAAAAATCCTAGAACTATATACCTAATAATAACTATATACCTCTTCACTACAGCAAAGCATAATAATATATGAAGTCTACAATCTTTAAAATTAAATTTTGTACAAAACCCTCTGAAATGCATTTGGAAGATTTTTTTTGTAGCTTCAAAATAGATAAACACTAAATTAAAATCGAGAGGTGCCACAGAAACAAATTTAAGACGGACTTTTTAACTCATTTTTGGAAAGTAATTTGGCGGAACAAATTACCCAACACAATTCGCTTTCGACGACCTCCTTTCCGCTTTCGATTAAAACAAGGGAGGTTTTATATAATAACATGACCTACAGCATCATTTTGTAATATTTAATACTACAGCAGACGTGTTTCTGGCATTGCCTTTTTATCAGGTTCAATGAACAGATTGCCTGATTCTGACTTTTAAGGTATTTGTACCCACAATAATGTTATTTGCATCCATTCATAGGAAACGCGAAAATTTTTATTGAGTATGCTGAATTCCACATTTGTTCAAAGTATCTTCAGATACTATCAGTTCAAAATTTAATGCATTTTTAAAAGTAAACTAAAGAAATAAATCCTTAACAGTTGAAAAGACTAATATAATGATGCTCATTGATTTATAAGTAGAAATTAGTATAGCTTTGGTCATTTTTGGTACAACATATTTGTTATTATTAAAGTCTATAGAATTCTAAGCTGTCGGAACTACACTTTCGACGTAAAATAAGTTCTATGCGATTTCGTGTGATAAGGGTCTTTCGAAGTTCAGATGATCACCAGGCTTCAATGAGCATGTCGTAACTTTGCAGGCATGCGTAATGCAAATTAATCCGCAAATTCTTGAGATGCGGCATGAAGCATGCGCTATGTACAAGCCTTTTACCCAAAGTTAGGATAAAAAAAATAACTGTAATATGCATCGTGTAAAAATGTAGTTCCGTGTAATTCGTGTGTTATACAACAAAGTATGCTTACAATAAATATAAAAATGAACAATGATGCGTAAATTTAATTCATTATTGTATAAGTGAAGAATACGACTTTCAGTGTATCGCAGTAAGGGTTATTTTTGCTGTTCAGTCAGTCAGTACAGTGACTTGTCCTGGTATCATGTCACTGGGGTAGTTACGTAATCATTACGACATCCCTATAGCCTACGTTACATGCGCAATACCATCTTTCTGAGCATTATCTTTGTTGCTTTTAGTCTAGTTCTTAGTACAATTATTGACGAAGACCATTCTAGATCACGCAAACAAAGTTGTATTAGCAAAATATATGTATATTAGGTTTTAATGAGGTGAAAATAATTGATGTTTCATCTAACTAAACTAATATTATAAAGAGGACAGATTTCATCAATTGTTTGCGTTGAATAGACTTCGATCCAGTGGGGACTGATTTTAAAATTATTTTATCTACTGGAAGCTACATCATACGCGAGGGGGGTTAGTTACGAGCACGTAACAGCATATGTTAAAACGCCCTAGGGAACTATTTAGGAGGATGAGTTTTTCGTGATAGAGCAACAAACTTACATTCATCACCACAAACTTTCGCATTTATAACATTAGTAGGATAGGATAGCCTTGAACTCGTCGACGTTTGCGCTGTCATAGCATAGAACTTCAATGAAAAGGTACCTTTTAAAGTAGATATTTGATTGTTTTAACAGTATAGCAGAGCTGTTATCGTAAGAACCTTCGTGCGTGGTAGATGATAATTGATAGCCCAATCTCGATTAGGGTTGTTCCGTATTTATCCTATGACGTCTCATCCTATTTCTTCATTCATCTCAAACTCTGTATTCCTAACTCTATTGAAAAAAATCATAGATTTGAAGACATTAATAGGTTGATAATTATGTGTTGGAGATAATGATGAATAATTAACATGGATTAGAGATAACATAGATATTATACCACTCAGATGTTCAATGGAGAATATCTATAATGAACCATGAGGACAATGTCATAGAGCAAATTTTATGAAGGAGTGAGAAATATTGCACTCTTATGTTGATGGGTTGATAATATTTCACTCACTGGCAATCAACACTAAAATTTTAATTCGTGTTAGTAAAACTAACATAGTGTTAGATAATAAAACATTTACAGTGCTATAAATAAACAAAGTTTAGCGTCAAAGTAAATTTACGCTGAGACTGCACTTAGTATTAGTCAAAATTCATATTATCAAACAGAGACTTAACAAAGATTAACCATGTAACAGGTACTACGAGAGTAATATTTACTCCTAGAAGGCAGTAGGTTTGCTTATTCTCTGTATATTATGAATTTGGACTTATACTAAAATTGTAATTTAAGCGTAAATTTAGTCTGACATTAAACCTTGATTATTAATAGCACTGTTAGTTTTTTTATGTTCATAACATGAAACGAAACCATTTCAGTGTCAGTGCTTAATTCATAAATTCATAATAACGTCTGTGTTGTAATGAATTGAATTAGATTAAAAGTTAGATGTTTTCAAATAGAAACGGATCTTATCGTACCGTTATTACCAAATTACGTATAGGCGTTACGTTTTTTTTTTGTGATCGTTAATTTTTGTTTGAAGATTACATGGATAAAAAATGGTTTAAACCAGAAAGTCAATTGTGCTAATGTTTACGTAATGATCGAATCTGAATAGAATCTCAACGATTTGCGTTTTAATATTGTCCTATCAAACTAAAGTCAGTATTCTATTATTATGGTTTTGGCGGATAGCTGCAGCTCATTTTGGGCCTCCAAATGCATGAGCTGCAGCTTATTTGCGCCCTCCAAATGAGCAGCAGCTATCCGCCAAAATCATAATAATAGAATAAATAAATAAAAAATATGACTAACCAATATCAAGTTTCTACCTTGCCCTGTGATTCTGCAATAGTCCAGACCCGAATCAGTATCACTCATGTATCCGAATTCACGTCATTTAGTGTAAAAAATCTATCGATTCCATTTTTTTTTGTATAAAAATATAAAACATAATTCATTGAATATACTTGTCTTAGATATTCCATTCCTATGTCATTTCGAAACTCACTTCACTTATGCCACGAAACGTTATTACCAATTCAAGGTTAAGCGGATGCCGTTTTTTGTAGTGAATTCGGGCACCTGAATGAATTCGAATTCGGGTTTGGATTATCAGAGAATCGCACGGCAGGTGGGCAAAAGTTGTCAAGCTGGACTTATTGCCACTCCGGGCCTTCGATGATGTTAGTCCGCCACTGTCTAAAGTCCAAGATTATTATATATCTGTCACCATTGATGTGTGAGGAAGAATATACTAACATATTACTTAAACATTAGCAGAATAAGCCTGCAGGGCCGGTTGCCTGCAACAGTCGATAATGATTTATAATGCTGACACTCATGTCAAGACTATAATTGGGCAAGACCGAGCACAACTTACATGGAGTTATAAAAAAAGTTCCCTCATTCGATTGTATTGTCAACGTAATTTGCTTGAAACCATCAACTTATTACCTTTTGCCGCATATACGGTAGCTTCCCGTAGGTGCTATAAGTGAAAGAATTTTTAAAATAGTTTTGTAATTTAGTAGCCTTTTTGGTATAAACCAAATAAATCTTTCGTCTTTATAATATTAGTATATAAAAATAGTGTTTTATATTATAGCATACCACATTTGCTTTTGATTTTGTAGAATGATATATTTTATTTCAATGGATAATTTAATAATGTCATCATCAGCATCAGCATCCGCTAACAATAAAAACCCGCGTCAGAAACATCCTAATCTGCGCTAACTAACCCGCAACTACTACTAAACTAACCCGCAGTTAATTTTCACCTGATAGAGATATAAATAAGCAATAAGGTCGCCTTTTGTGTTAATGTATGTTGTTTAGCGTACTTTAAAAAAAAACATAGTGCAAAATTTTATATGAATTCATAATTAATTAAAATTATTATTACATGTGACTTTCTATCCGTGGTGACTAAATATAATCAATTATCAGGCTTCTTGCCTTTGTCTGACTGTAATTCTCGTTTGTAATGCACATAACTTGGTACAAACAAAATAGTTATATTTCCAAATAATGGAAGGTAGTTAAATTTATTTATTAATTGCTTAACGTAAAGCAATATAAACACGTAACTATGACTACATTGATACGTAAAATCGCACGATTTATATCGAGCGATGAGAATAGGGTCTCGCGTTCCCGTCCACTTTTTATTATAATATCTTCACAATACATCATTAGTTACTATGATGCGAAAGTCATTATTGCACTTAGATTTTACAAGGATACTAATAGAAGATGATTTTCAGTGGACTTCTTAATGGAAATATTTCATTAACTGAAAAATTTATCCAATATTGTCTTGTGTAATTTTTCTTTACTGTTTTAACATTTTTTTAAATCACCCATATGGCTCTGGTTGACACTATTTCGCAATAACCCGACATGGTCAAGAGATGATAATGAAGTTCGTTAAGCCTGTCAATTATATAACAATTTCTTTATTGCAATTCGTAAAGAACAGCTATTCCGAGAATAAAACTTTTTTTAACGTTATTATACAGTACAAGAGGTAAAAGTTCTGCAAACGATTTTCTACACAACTGTCAATATTTTAAGCCTTAGAATTGAAAGAAATTGTCAGTTTAAGATCTTCGGATGTGTTCTAATGTTCCAAAATTGTTGATGGTTCTGGTATACTG